AAGTTTTCAGTGAGGAGAGGGCAGATGAGTCCCCCCCCCCCACTGACCCATGGACTGTGCCATTGAATTCAAGCCTGGGGCAAAACTCCTGAAGCCCAGATTATACTCCATGAGCCCAAAGGAGAAAGAGGAAATGGAAAGATTCAGAAAGAAAAACCTAGAAAGGGAGTTCATTGAGCCAGCCAAGCCTAAAGTGGTCGCCCCGGTTCTCTTTAGAGAGAAGAAGGACGGGTCTTTACGCTTATGCATGGATTATAGGTCCCTGAATACAATCAGTGAAAGCAACCTATACCCCCTGCCCCTCATGAAGGACATGTTGTTACACCTCTCGAAAGGAATTTTTTTTTTTACTAAACTAGACCTAAGGGAAGCTTACTCTCGCATGAGAATTAAGGAAGGGGATGAATGGAAGACCACATTTAACTGTCCAATGGAGTGCTACCAATTCAAAGTCTTGCTATTTGGATTACAAGGGGGCCCCACAGTATTTATGCAATTAATCAATGATTTCTAAGGGAGCACCTATTTAAGGGGGTCCTGGTTTACTTAGACGACATTCTTATCTTCACCGAATCAAAAGAGGAACATGTCAACCTAGTCAGAGCGGTTTTAAAGAAACTGCAAGCCACCCACCGATATGCCAAACTCTCAAAATGCGAATTCCACTAGGAAAGGATAGACTATCTAGGTTATCGCATATCCCCACAGGGCATTGAAGTGGACCCAGAGAAGGTCAGAGCAGTATTAGAATGGGCACCACCCCGCACAAGAAAGCAACTGCAAAGTTTCCTGGGCTTCGCAAGCTTTTACCGCCAATTCATCTCCTCATTTGCCCAGATAGCCCTGCCCCTCATGAACTTACTAAAAATGAAGGGAGCATCCTCAGTAAAACCTAACATGGACAATGGAGCCACTTACATGGACAATGGAGTGCCAAGCAGCGTTTGAGAGTTTAAAGAGACTTTTTTCTGCCGAACCAGTACTGAGACACCCAGACATGGATAAGTCCTTCGTAATACAGGCGGATGCAAGTGATGTGGCAGTTGGGGCTGTACTATTACAAGAAAATGATGAAGGGTTATTACAACCCTGTGTGTATACATCCAAGAAACTCACAGAAACAGAACAGCACTGTGGGAGAAAGAGGCATACGGGATACATTGGTCATTACTCACATGGCGCCAGTTCCTTGAAGGCAACAAAAACCCTTCCCAGGTGTGGACAGACCACAAAAATTTGGAAGCCCTGAAAACACCCAGGAAGCTCAACCCCAAGCAAGCCCGCTGGTCCCAGCATTTTCACCAGTTCCAATTTATGCTCAAGCATTTGTGGGGGGGGGGGAGAACTTCCTGGCAGATGTACTATCTCGCATGCCCCAATATAACAGCACGTGAGCCACCAGCTCTAAACTGATGATGGTAGAATCACAACTGGCAGTGCCAGTAACCACCAGAGCCCAAGCTAAATTAAAACCACAGCTGGGTGGCCAAACCGGAATTGAATTCCGGAAAAGTTTGGAAACAAATGAATGCTTCTAGAAAAATAAAAACGTGTGCACAATGAGAGACGGGCTGCCTTGGGTGGGGGAAAAGTTATATATACCAACATATTTACAGATTGCATGGAGCACCCCAACGCATCATATCTGATAGGGGAGTGCAATTTACGTCTGCATTTTGGAAGGAATTTTTATCCCTCTTAGGGACCACTCAGTGACTAACATCTAGCCATCATCCACAAGGGGATGGACAAACAGAACGTTGTCACTCAGTACTTGAGCAATATTTAAGATGTTTTCTTAATTTCCAACAGTCCAATTGGACAGACTTACTCCCTTTCACAGAAGTTGCCTACAATAATGCAGTCCACTCCAGCACAGGTTACACTCCTTTTCAAATAGCTACCGGTCAAAGTTTCAACCCCATGCCAGAACTAACCCCAAACGAACCGGCGATCCCATAATTGAAAGAATGGATGGAACAATTACAAAACACCTGGCGAATAGTTAGAAAAGCACTAGATGAAGCTAGGCAGGCATACAAAGCACAAGCCAATAAAAAAGGGTTGAGCCTACACCATTCATTATAGGAGAAATGGTGTACTTATCTACAAAATACCTAAAGTCCCTACAACCCTGTAAAAAACTTGGACCAAAATATATAGGGCCTTTTCCAATTAAAAGAATCATAAACCCAGTAACAGTAGAATTAGAATTACCCAAAAATTTCAGGCAAATACTCCCAAGCTTGCTGAAAAGAGAGCATCAGTCATCATTATGGCCAAAAATCCCCCACACACACCACCTCTAATCATCGTGGAGGGCGAACAACACTTCGAGATAAAGGAAATCCTAGATTCTAGGAGATATCATGGAGCAACTCAGTACCTAGTAGCCTGGAAACACCTCCCTGCCTCACAAAATGAGTGGGTCCATAAACGTCATGTCAGACCCCTGAAGCTATTAAAGAAGTTTCACACAGAGTATCCTAACAAGCCAGACTAACTTTTATACCTGTTTTGTTTTCTTTTCAGGTGGATCTCTCTTATTTTTAAGGGGGCAGGATGTCAGAATCCAATTATATTTCATTTCTAGTTATCGACTATGGAAAACCCCATTTCTGCCCTCTCTGGATTCTGCCATACTACGAAGGGGAAGGGGGATGAGCAAAGGGATTTTATGGCTCTCACTTCCTTCATTAAAGCTTCAAAGGGACTGAATGTGGATCTCACCCAGAGGACTGACCATAACAATATGGCCATCACCTTTCATGTACTCCTCTCCGAAGTCTCCCTTCCGCTGGCCCTGAGGAAAAGAGGGTGGAAATGTAACACCTGGGATTGTCGCTGGAAGGACGGTGGGGTGAGAGGCTGCTTGGGAACACTTAAAACCTTGAATGGTAGGGGGCCCTCAGGTCCTGTCTAGAACACCTGCAACCATCTTCTCTTAATAAAGATGCATGTTGGAAGAAATATTCCAAGAGTTCTGTCTTCTTAAGATGCAAAGTGGGGTGGATCCTTACAGAAGTCTGGTTCACTGATGTTGCTATTCCAGGTGATGCCAGGACTGAGGAAAACAATGGAAAAAATTATACAATACCGGGATTTGCAAACTGAAGCTGAGCACTTATGGAAAAAGAAATCCATTGTTATAACAATTGTGACTGAAGCCTTGGAGCTATACCTAAAGGACTTCCTCAATATCTAGAAATATTGAATTTATCAAATCTGAACACCTAATTTTTAAAAAAACTACTGTTTGGAATTGTCTATATTCTTACATGCTATTTTAAACAATTCTTAACAATTTATTAAAATTCTATGCTGTCTGGTTCCCTGCAATTCTCTGTCTTTCATTATATCCAGTTAATTCATTTTATCCAGTGGACTTTAGATGAATTGTCAGTATATTGCCTTTCTATAGGCTCTCTCTTAATTCTATCTTCATTTTTCCTTCTTTATTTTTCTTTCTGAAGATTTTGCTTGTATTATACTTTACCTTGGTTCCATTTTAACGGGTCTGCCAATTTTTACTAGCAGAAGTATACAAATATAGAATCAATATAGAGTTCTACAGCTATATCATCTTGACGTATCTCACAAATGCTGTCATTTTTAACTGATCGGGAAACCCGAAAGTAAATGCTTTGGTGGATATGTCAATTTCATATTTATATTAATTGGCTATGGGCAGGAAATACTTATTATCTATAGGTAAACATGCAAATGTGATTAAGATTTCTTTCTGTCATTTTAGTTTTTAAGGCAATTTTAAGCAATTAATTTCTTTTTAATTAAATAGATATTATCCAGTGGTGGGATTCAGCTGGTTCGCTCCACTTCAGCAAAACCAGTAGCTAATTTTTTGTTGCCCAAGCCCAGAATGGACTTCTGGAAGCAGCATTCACACAGAGAATCTATTGTTCACATATTTGAATCCCACCACTGATAATATCCCTTAATAAATATGTATTCAAATTAAATAAAAGTTTATATCTCTTAAATTGTGCTCTTTAAACAATTAACACCCACAAAGCAAATATTTCCTATTAAAACACAACATGGAATTGTTAAATTCCTAGGATCTTCCTCATATGAAAGAGTGGACATTTTCAGTGGGAAAACAAGTAAAGCAGAATTTCATTCAGTAAGGTTGCTTTCCACCTTAGGAAAAAAAGCAGTCAATCTGTTTAGTGAAGAAATTAGTATAAGGAGTCACCACACACCCATACTCAGTGAAAGTGATACTGATAGTTTGAATGGTTTTTATAGAGCTGAGGGGGGACTTTAGATTAGCACAGCCCTTGATCTTCTTCACATCCGACTCTTTTCCCTTGTTCTTCAGCTTGCTTGCATATTTCGATATGTCAGAAAGACCCCTCCATCCACCTGCCTGATTTTAAAAAGATGTATCATGAACGTCTGCAGCTTGGCTTTTAAATGTATTTCAGTCCTAAAAAATCATTATTACTGGTGAACAGACTTTGTTTTTGTTGCCATCCACTTTCTACATTATGATATGAAAAGTTTATACTGCACTCTACATCATTTATAGATGACAGAATGAAATTAAGATCTCATAAATTGTTTTAGAAGAAAGGACAATGTTATAAGAAACATAAACCTTGCTGGGACCAGCATAATCCCTCTAGGGATTTTTTAAAATTACTTTGGGGTAGCCAAGATGCTAAATTTGCTTGCAATGATCCCTTGTTGCAATTATCTCAAGTATTGTATTAACTTGCACATTAATTATGAGATCTAGTTGATAAATACACTACCTTTTGTCACTCTTTTTGGGAGAAAGTTCCAGGCTCAGGCTGTGGAATCTCCGAATAGAAAGGAAAAGGGCATCTGAAACAGGTGTTGCCATGTTGATAGTGTTGACTGGGTTGCATCATCAATAGTGAGCTGTATGGACCAAGGAACTATCAGTGGGACAACTCCCCGTGTTCCTCTGTTCACACTTTATGTACCAAACCGACCAATTAGTGGGTTTAGATGTAGACGCCCAGGCAAATCAGTGCTAAGCGATCAGGAAATGCAGATCGCTTTTGGTGAAGACTCCCCGACGGCACAGTGGGGAGGGCTTTGTTTGAGAGAACCAGAGAGGGGGCTCTAATGTGGAAAGACTCGGCGGTGGGGGAAGCCATTAGAGAGAGAAGGAGGAGGGATTAGATCGCATTCCAAGGGAGCTTGGAAGAAAAACGGAATCAAAGAGGCGAACGGCAGAAGAGTTTAGGCGCAGGAGTGAAGCTGGGAGCGCGTAGGATACAGGGGACAGGAAGGAAGCGAGGCGTGGTAATAATTGCGCTGGTTCATTCCAGGCGTAGAAAAACTCACTCTACTCTTTTCTATTCCTCCGCCTATCTTTCCCTGATCAGGAACCGAGGTACAAGAGCAGCGCTACAGCGCTGCCAGGAAAAGAGGCGCATCGATTTTCGCCAGGCGCGAAGAGGATTCTCGCCAGGCGCGAAGAGGACTTTACTGAAAAGTAGAGGCAGGAAAGTGCTCCGAGAGAATTCAAAAGCAAAGCGACGCCATGCCGTTCAGCAACAGTCCCGGCGGCTCCGCTTGGACGACGCCTGCGTGGAACTGGAACCGGGGCCCTCTCGGGAAGGTAGACGGCTCCGGGGGCAGCGTGGAGGCGCCGTGGTCAGGGAGCAAAGCCAACGGAAGCAGAGACCCCTACGGGCGGGACGAAGACCTGGCCAAGCTGGAGATCGCTGTGCTGGCTCTGACCTTCGCCTTAGCTGTGCTGGGCAACGTTTTCGTGCTGTTAGCGCTGCACCACACGCCGCGCAAAAAGGCATCCCGCATGCATCTTTTCATCCTGCATCTGAGTCTGGCTGACCTGGCGGTAGCTTTCTTTCAGATCTTACCCCAACTTTGCTGGGAAGTCACGCACCGTTTCCATGGGCCGGACGGGCTCTGCCGCGTGGTGAAACACCTTCAGGTCTTCGGCATGTTCGCCTCGGCGTACATGTTAGTGGTGATGACGGCCGATCGGTACATCGCCGTGTGCCACCCGCTCAAGACGCTGCAGCAGCCGAGCAAGCGCTCGCGCTGCATGATCGTGGCCGCCTGGGCGCTCAGCTTCTTGCTCAGCGTGCCCCAGTACTTCATCTTCTCCCTCAGCGAGGTGGAGAGCGGCTCGCAGGTCTATGACTGCTGGGCGCATTTCATCAAGCCGTGGGGGGCTCGCGCCTATATCACTTGGATGACCGGCAGTATCTTGGTGGCTCCCGTCCTTATCCTGGCCATCTGCTACGGCTTCATCTGTTACCACATCTGGAGCAACATCCGGGACAAGACGCGGCGGCAGAAGCGAGAAAGGGCTCCGCCTCGCGAGGGCGCCCTGCGCAAGGAACTGCTCTTCACACCTCATGTCAGCAGTGTCAAAAGTATTTCCCGCGCTAAAATCCGCACCGTCAAAATGACCTTCGTGATCGTTTCGGCTTATATTGTGTGTTGGGCTCCTTTCTTCTCTGTACAGATGCGTTCCGTCTGGGACGACCACGCCTCCTGGCAGGGTAGGTGCTGTGATCAGATCAACTACTGATCCTGCCTAGTATCTGGCTCCCTGGCATATGATTTCCAGACAAACAACATTCGCTTGGGTTCTTACAGGGCACTTAAAACATAGCTGCACTGCACTTTTAAACTGTTCTTCACCTATGCTGATGCCAGCTGGATTTTAATCCAATTTAAGAAAATTCTGCCCAAATTGGGACACTTTGGGAGCAGCCAGGTACCATTGTTCCTCCTCCTCTGTCCTCTATCTCTCCCCCCTCCTAAACAATTATCCTGCTCTGTTGCCCTTCCAACTTTCTGTGCCAGGAAAACAATTGCAGCTGCTTTCTTTTCTGTGGACATATATACTTGTATATGTATATGCAAATATATAAAACCATATGCAAATTAAACCCACATATACAAAGTTAAAGCTTCAAAATGTACATAGAAGCAGGCAGAAGAAGCAGCTTTAAAATAAAAAAAAATCTTTCTTGCACTTTCCCAGTTTGGTACAATGTCTGATGCAGCTATTGTACAACTCCCTCAGCAACATTTGTATGACATTAAGAATGTCTTGATTTGAAACAGCAGGAAAGTTTATATATACATATGTTATATAGGTCTATACAGTATATGTCTCTTACTACTCAACTGCTTTTTTGAACCAGCTAAGTACTGTTTCATAATTTTTGCCATTCCTTGAAGAATTTCATCCTAGAAGGATTTCATTCCAGTCCTCAGCCCAAACGAATATTACTGCAAAAAGTCATCTTGCAGTATTTATTTAGCTGGGTCATTTGGCAGCTGGGTAGAAAAGAAAATTATTCCAGCATTTCACTGGTTCACTGGTAGGCTCCTTTTAAAAAAAATCTGCTTAACCAAAAAGTGAGTATCTCAGAAAAAGATAAACAGTAATTTTAAAAGCCCGGTTTTGAGCCATTAATCTTCAGCACATCAGGCAAATATTATAGCCCTGCCGTGCTAGTGGAATACAATGCAACAGCAGCTTAGATCAGAGACCAGCAGAGGAGCAAACAGTTGAGGGGATTTTGCTGTTTCTTTGCTCAATAGCTAATCAAGCTGCCTAGGAAAAGTAAAAGACATCAGGCAACCCAGAGAGCAATTCTTAAGCCAGAAAACATGAAGCAACAAAATACGAATGGAATTCACGTTTGCCCCGGATGAGTAGAGGAGGGCATCTTCTGTTGGCTGGTGACTTGTATAGATTTTAAAGCAGGAATATATATTAAACATTTTTCATTGTCATATACCAATGCATAGAACTGCCACTGTATAAAAAAAACCTTTCTGCTTGGAAATATAGGATGGTACCCCTGTGCAAGTTAACTGAGACTAAACACTGTTGGATTCACTGGGGTCTTTTTTTGGCTACATAGATTCAACTTGTAAAATGCTGAAAAATTAACAAGCAATCACAGTTGAATGCAACTTTTGTATTTAATAAGAAATCTGTGCTGCCCTTTAAGTTGATGAGATGAAATAATTTCTCCATCAAAATTAATGAAAAAATATCCAGTATCTGTGTGACTATTTTCCTCTTCATTGTTTTGTTCTAATCTCTCACAAAAAATAGCAAAACTGGAAAGTTCATTATCATCTCATTCACAAATGCCATTCTCACCATTCTGCTCCAAAGAAAGACTTCAACTACTCTGTCTTGCATTTCCATTTGATTTTACAGTAAGAGATGCCACAAAGCATATTTGCTTTCTAAACGACCATGTACTGTACCAATACTGAGTTTGTTACTATAAGCAACATAAGATAGTACACCAATTTTACAATCTGAACTATTCTGTTCTGGAATAAATTCAAATGATTCCTTAATTTCCAGGTTATGGGCAGCCATTGTTATTTGTTTGTGGTGATGTACAGTATCATATCTGTTTTAGCTAGTTCATCCCAAATTTGCCCATGGCTAGTTGACTTGCACATTATTAACTGAAAGACAGAGAATCTTTTTTATTTTAAAAAAATTGGCATTGAGTCTTGTGTTCTTAGAGAAAATTCCTGTCCTCTAAGCAAGCTTGGCCACAGAATCCTTAATTTTAGCAATAGGGCAATTCTCGAGAGGCCATCTGAGTTACACTGAAGATGGAAATTATGGCTGCCTCCTTCTTCTCAGCAGCATATTGTTTTTGGTAGTCACCTTGGTCATCATAGTAGCCCTGATATTTTCTGTAAAAAAAAAATTAAGCTGATCTGTGTCTGTATTATAAATGTAAAATATACTATATGAACAAGCCACAAAGAGATAAAATAAATGACAGAGTCCTGAACCTTTTATCAAGAGAGTTATAATTGTAAATCAAAGTAACCTGCTCCTAACCATAACTAAAATAAAAGTATAGTGAAAGGAACAAGACATAGGTAAGACAAAAATAATATGTGTGTAAATCTGTTGTGATGGATAATACATTCAATATGGTCCAGTAGCTTAGTAATTTTATTTATTTGTTTTGTTTATTGAATTTATATGGCCACTCATCTAACAAAGCAACTCTGGGCAGGCAACAGAGGAAGAACCCTATTCCTGGAAGGAGAATAGGGAGGGCTAGCAGGGATGGCCTCAATCTGATCTTGGGTGGAATGAAAGCCCAAAGGCTAAATGCTATAAAAAGAAGCCATCCCTGGTCCTTCAAAATAACTTTCTTGATTCAGCAGGGCCCAGAATGTGCCCTTCCTGCCAGAACTGATGGGACAAGTAGCTTCAGAGAGGCAATTCGTCTAGTATCCCAGCTTAATACCACAAAGCCAGAAGCCTAAGATGGACATATTGAGGTTATTAGGGCAATTCTACTGAAATAATATGTTGAATAAAGTACAAATACCTGTTTACCTTTGAAAATGTAATGCAGAATTATAATCTTACAAAACTTAATGCAGATTTTTCTTAGACTTGCTATTAAAAAAATATTAGCATACTAAATTGTAGATTTTTGCTAAACAGTGCTCTACTTTTTCTCAATAGATTCAGAGGATGTTGCAGTTACAGTGACCGCCCTTTTGGCCTGCTTGAACAGTTGCTGCAATCCATGGATCTACATGTTTTTCAGTGGGCACCTCCTTCAAGACTTCATGCATAGTTTCTTGTGTTGTCGGAACATTAAACGAAGATTGAATAAAGAAGATACTGGGAGCATTAGCAGGAGACAGACTTCTTTCACTAATAACATAAGTCCAACAAACAGTTTGGACACATGGAGAGAATCATCAAATTTATCATGATTTATTAACCATATCAATTTCTAGACCATTGATAAAATACTCATATCTCTTTGAGTGCCAAAACAGCACTTTAGCACTTTAGCTACCAGGTATCATGTCAATAAAGTAATTAATTGCCAAAAAAATACCATTTTATATTAATGAAGGCTACAAATTATTATGTAAAAAGGTACGTGAACATGTAGTCAATGATACTGATGAAAAATCAGATAACATGCAATTTTTCCCAGACAGATAAACCTTGGCATTAATTCTTAATAAGGTACAGCATTCTATGAAGTAATGGCTACCACTCTGTAAAAATATTTGCTCAGTCCCCTCAAAAGTCTTGCTGAGGAACTTCCTGGTTTTTAAAAAAATGACTAAATTACCTATCTCAATGATCAGCCATTTATAGGTAGTCCTTGACTTACAATCGCAATTGAGCCCAAAATTTCTGTTGCTAAGTGAGATAAGTGAATTTTGCCCCATTTTACAACCTTTCTAGCCACTGTTGTTAAATGAATCACTGCAATTGTTAAGTTAGTAACAGAGTTATTAAGTGAATCTGGCTTCCCCATTGATTTTGCTTTCAGAAAGTTGCAAAAGGTGATCACATGATCCTGGGACATTGTCATAACCATCATAAATATGAGACAGTTGCCAAATGTCTGAATTTTGATCAAATGACCATGGGCATGCTGCATTGATTGTGTGAAAAACAGTCAGACGTCACTTTCTTCAGTGCTGTTGTAACAGTCACTAAATGAACTGTTGTAAGTCAAGGACTACCTGTATCAAAATCCTATTGGAAACATAATGAATTGGCTTGATCTAAAGTTATGTAGATGACAAATAACTGTGGAACATCCAACCAATATTGACTTTTCCACTGTGTGAAATATTATGGAAAGTCAAAGTCTTAAGCTAGACTGAGAAGTAGAAAAAACAATATGGAATACTGGATTCTTTAAGGGAGCCCATTGAATGTTTATATCATTTGTAATATAGTATGCAAGAAATTGCTTGCTGGTGACTATTATTTTTATATTTAAGTAGGCGCATGCACATATTTATAACAACGCTTTATCAACTTAAAAGTGACAGAAAAAATCATTGTTATTCTGATAGCAAAAGAATTAAATTTTTCTTCATCAATCTGAATTTAGAATTTAGAAAGGTGGCCACTGATATATTGAGAAGTTCACTTTTTCTATTGGCATCGGGTGACATCAGTGGCTCATTTGACTAAACTGGCACTGTTCAGGAGACCGTACATCATTAGCACATATAAGTCCATTCCTATGACAAATGAGGCCCATACACCGATTCCAGTTCAGCTGGTGGCACAATTCTTTGTGCTTGGGAGTGGAAGGCAGGTGTCAGAATCCAATTATATTTCATCTCTAGTTATCAACTATAGAAAACACCATTTCTGCCTTCTCTGGATTCTGTCATACGATGAAGGGAAGGGGGTGAACAAAGGGGCTTTATGGCCCTCACTTCCTTCAGTACACTTCAAAGGAACTGGATGTGGATATCACCAAAAGGACTAACCATAACAATGGGGCTATTACCTTCATGTAGTTCTCTCCGAAGTCTCCATCCAGCCGGCAGTAAGGAAAAAGGGGTGGGAGTGTAATGCCTGAGACTGTCGCTGGAAGAAGGGGGTGATTGGGTGGGGCTACTGGGGAACCCCTTAAAACCTTGAATGGGAGAGCTTGGACCCCAAGTCCTGTCTAGAACGCCTGCAACCATTTTCTCTTAATAAAGAATGCCTGTTGGAAGAACTATTCCAAGAGTTCTGTCTTCTTAAGATGCAAAGTGGGGTGGGTCCTTACGTTAGACAGGACTTGCAAAATTAATCCACCTGGAAGGGAGACCCTTGCTGGGGGATTTTGCAAAAGATTACCATGTCAGACAATGGAGCAAGAAAGGTGGAAAACTCCCTGGAAAGAGAGCCGCTGCCCCGACTGGAACCTTGCCGGATGTCGGGATCCGAGAGGTCAGATTCCTCAGGAGAAGAAGTGATGGAGACATGGGACCAGAAGCCTCGCTGGTCAATGGGCGTTGGAAAGAAAAGCGAGTGGGGAAAGAAATCAAGAAAGGTGACCTTGAGACGGGGGGCCAAGCAACCAGAATGGAAGCAGGAGATCGAAAAATCCCTGTACGCAAGCGGAGAGGGAGAAAGCTGGGCACCGTACTCAGACTGGATCCTAGAGAAAGCTATTGACTTGATGAAGAGAACACTCAGCTCCCTAGGAGAGGAGAATCCTGAGCCCTATGGCCGCCCCAGCTCCTGGAGCCGCAAAGGGAGAGACACCGAGGGGGAAGTGGAACCTGCAGCCCCGGGGACATCTGCTGATCCAGTACTCCCCACCCCCTGCTGAACCACAGATGGTAATCTGGACGGAAGACACTATCACCAACAATGGAGGCACCGTTGGAGGTGAAATTCAAAGGGGAGCCAACACGCTTGGAGTTTTTCCTAACCCAAGTCCTCAGCTACATGGAGGAATACGGGCGGGATATCCCCAGTGACAAAGCCCGCATCCGGATCATGCAATCTGCCCTGGACGGACCAGCTGCAGATGGGTGGTGAACTTGCACGACTCCAATGCCCCAGATCTCAATGATTTCAACTGTTTCATGTCCTCTCTGAGAAGGTGATTTGAAGACCCCTGGCTGATCACAAAGCCCGCGAAAGGATAAAAACGATGAGGCAAGGCAAACGCCTGGTGGCTGAATATACGCAAGAATTCCGGGCCATTGCCAGCAAACTGAACTGGCCAAAAGACATCCTCCTTAGCCATTTTAAAGACGGATAAATTATGACCTATATGATGCTTGTCTGCCCCGAGGGGACCCACACCAACTTGAGGAATGGTACATCTTGGCAGAGGAAGCAGAGATCGACATATTGAAGAGGCACTGCCGAGGAAAACAATGGAGCCGCTCCCCGCCTGAGTTGACACACGAACCAGTGAAACCATTGGTTACAGCCAATAAGCAAATGGGGTGTTTCAAGTGTGGAAGAGAAGGACATCGAGCTGTAGAATGCTGCTCCAAAGCCCCCCAGCACAACCCAGACAGATCCCTGATCAGCAAATCTGGAAAATCTTCAGCTAAGCCAAAAGAAAATGCCCTGAGAATGATGGAAATTGAGGAACCCCCCACCTCTGCTCATCAGGGGGAAAGAACTCCAGCCTACACCGCAGGGCTGGTGGATGCCTCAGATGACAGCTTGGAAGGCGAACCCCTGATAAGTAGACACATCGCACCCATCCTCAAGACAGTGACTATATTAATTCCCCCCATGCCCAAAGCTGTGAAGGTGAAAGCCTTAATAGACTCTGGCTGCACCCGCTGCCACATTAGCCCAACACTAATGGGGAATCTGGGCATTCCGTCGAGGAGACTGGAACAACCAATCTCATTTGGCCAGTTAGATGGATCCATAGCGGGGGGGGGGGTGCCAGCTACCCTAGCCACTATACCAATACACCTCTCCCTGGGCAAACATGAGGAGGGCATAACATTTGTGGTGACCCCAGGCATGGAATGCCCAATGATCCTAGAGATGGAATGGTAAAAAAAAATGGAACCCCTGGGTGAATTGGAGGATGACAGAAATCAAATTCCCGAAGGGGGACCCTATGGACTTAAAATCCCAAGGGGGGCTACCTGAATCAAGAATAGAAAAAGCATCCATGGGAGAGGAAAAGGGACCACCAGAAATACCAGAGGAATACAGATAATATAAGATAAGAGACCTTGCTGAAGTTTTCAGTGAGGAGAGGGCGGATGAGCTTCCCGCCCCCCCACCGACCCACAGACTGTGCCATTGAATTCAAGCCGGGACAAAACTCCCGAAGCCCAAATTATATTCCATGAGCCCAAAGGAGAAGGAGGAAATGGAAAGATTCATAAAAAAAACCTAGAGAAGGGTTTCATTTAGCCAGCCAAGACTAAAGTGGCTGTCCCGGTCCTCTTTAGAGAGAAGAAGGATGGCTCTTTACGCTTATGCGTGGATTATAGGGCCCTGAATACAATCAGTGAAAGCAACCTATACCCTCTGCCCCTCATGAAAGACATGCTGTCACACCTCTCGAAAGGGAAAAAAATTTCTAAACTAGACCTAAGGGAAGTTTACTATCGCATGAGAATTAAGGAAGGGGATGAATGGAAGGCCGCATTTAACTGCCCCATGGGGTGCTATCAATTCAAAGTCTTGCTATTTGGCTTACAAGGGGGCCCTGCAGTATTTATGCAATTAATCAATGATGTTCTAAGGGAGCACCAGTTTAAGGGGGTCCTTGTTTACTTGGACAACATTCTTATCTTCACTGAAACAAAAGAGGAACATGTCAACCTCGTCAGAGCGGTTTTAAAGAAACTGCGAGCCGCCCACCTATATGCCTGACAAGACCGAGTGGCTTTGGATGTTGCCTCCCAAGGACCATGTCGACTGTCCAGTGTTGACTCTTGCGGGGGAAAATATACCCCCTTCGGAGCGGGTTCGCAACTTGGGTGTCCTCCTTGATCCACAGCTGAATTTGGAACATCATTTGATGGCTGTGGCTGGGAGGACCTTTGCACAAGTTCGTCTGTTGCACCAGTTGCGACCCTACCTGGACCGGGAGGCTCTCCTTACAGTCACTCATGCCCTCATCACCTCACGTCTGGACTACTGCAACGCGCTCTACATGGGGCTACCCTTGAAAAGTATTCGGAGACTACAGTTGGTCCAGAATGCAGCCTCGCGAGTGATAGTGGGTGCTCCTCGATACACCCACATTACACCTATCCTCCGTGACCTGCACTGGTTGCGTATTGGTCTCCGGGTCCATTTCAAGGTGCTGGTTATTACCTTTAAAGCCCTATATGGCTCAGGGCCAGGCTATTTGCGAGACCGCCTACTACCTCATAGTTCCCTTCGTCTGGTTAGATCCCACAGGCTGGGCCTCCTTCAGGTCCCATTGGCCAAGCAGTGCCATTTGGCGGGGCCGCGGAGGAGGGCTTTCTCTGTGATGGCACCCACCTCTTGGAACCAGCTCCCCCCGGAGATTAGGACCGCTCCCACCCTGTTGGTTTTCCGTAAGCTGCTTAAGACCTGGCTTTTCCGGCAGGCCTGGGGTTTATAAAATCTGACCCCTGGATGACTGTTCTTGTGCTGTTCGTTTTGTTATGTTTTATGTGTTTTTATTGTTAGCCGCCCAGAATCCTGCGGGAGTAGGGCGGCTTATAAATTTTAAAAATAAAATAAAATAAAAAATTGCCAAACTCTCGAAATGCGAATTCCACCAGGAAAGGATAGACTACCTAGGTTATCGCATATCCCCACAGGGCATTGAAATGGACCCAGAGAAGGTCAGAGCAGTATTAGATTGGGCACCACCCCGCACAAGAAAGCAACTACAAAGTTTCCTGGGTTTGCAAACTTTTACCGCCAATTCATCCCCTCATTTGCCCAGATAGCCCTGCCCCTCACTAACTTAC